AAAAAAAAAAAAAAAAAAAAAAGAGATAAGGTGCCCTGTAAGACAACATTTCTTAAGCTACAAACAGTACATGTCTCCCTCTTCTCAGAATAAGTACATTAGGAAGGGGGAAGGCACAGGGGAGAAGGCGTGCCCTCTGGCCTCCCCTTGATTTTCAACCCCAGCCCCAAGGCACTGGCAGTGGAAGCTAATTGGGTGCAAGGGACCCGGGTAAAGCCTGAAGACTGGCAAAAGGAGAGAGCCAGCTTCATTTTTTAAAAAGCTCTAATTGAGTTCTGAATCAGCCTCACTCCCTTTGATCCCTCCTCTGTTTCCCACACTGCCTGAAAGGGCTAGATCAGCACTTTATAACAAGGGTGCGCCTGCCCTCCCCACGCCTGCCCCCCTTCTCCTGACGCTCTCTGCTGCCGCCATCCATTGCATGTCTCCTTCAGTTAAGATAATGAAGATGCTGAGAGATAAAATGTGTATTTAATAAGGGTGGGGGTAGGGAGGCGGAAAGGGGCAACCAGGGCCTTCCCTAGTTTGGGGCCTCGCCAAGACTTGAGCTGAGAGCAAAGCTAGAGTAAGACTTGGCCCCAGGGTGTGGGGGTTTCTGGGCCTCAGTCCAGCTGACTTCACTGCCTGCTGTTTGCCCTAAATTCCCCCACCTCCACCCTCTCACCCCCACACTCCTTTCTTTCCTCTCTTATTTCTCCCAATGGGAAAAAGGAGTCTTGCTTAGCCTTTCTTTTCAGCTGGTAACTTGCCCTTTGGTGCCATGCCCCCCACCCCAGTGTCAGCTGCAAGGTCAGGCAAGGGCAGCCCCCTCCAGCCTAGGCCTGTAGAAGCTGTGGGTTCACAGTGGGGGGGGTGAAAAAGCTGGAGTTAATGAAGACCAGCTGCTTAGTCTGGGTTCTGCCTACAGCTAGCTGGAGGCCAGCCTTTGGTGGTGGTTGGGGGTGGGGGGTGACCTCCATCCAGGGCACAAGGATATCCTGTGGCAGCTACACTTGTGCTTCTCTCTGAGCTTGGTTTTATCCTTAGTTTGTAAGAGAGTAGTCTATTTCCCTCTTCCCCTACTCCTCTCCCCGAATAATGCAGCTCTTATTGAGCTATATAACTGTAGTGGTGGCCCAGCTGAGATCTGAGGATCTCCAAGCCCTTTTGTAAACACTCATTAACTGCCTGGGAAGAACCAAGAGCCCTGTTTAACAGCTGGGAGAGAACTGAGGCACATCAGGGTGAAAGCCTTGACCTAAGCTCACCCCATGGACTCCACCCTGAGGCCCTCCATCCTTACTGTCTAGCTCCTTTCCCCAGTTCTTTCTGCAAGACAGAGAAGGAGGTGGAGGCATTGCTATCCTCTCCCTTCCCTCAAGGCTGTCCCTGACTTCCCCTGGCCCTTCTCCCCATGACATTTTCCCTGCTCTGCTGCTGAAGATATATGCAACTCTCCTTGCAAAATAGTCTAAATCCAGAACTTTGCAGACTTCTCATCCACCTTTTCCTTGCCCATCTGGCCCACCAAACCCGAATTCTGCCTTATGAGCTACTGAGA